TGGTACCACGCAAGTTCCTCATAAGGGCTAAGGCTAACCACAAGATACTTAAGTAGAAGTTATTTTTTCCAACCATTACCGTTCTCTTTTAGGCTCTGTTTTGTTGGAGGATTATGAAGGGAAGGGGAAGAAAGTGGATGATTCATGTGTGTTTGGTTGGAGGAAGTATGAAGGAAGGGGAAGAAGGTAGATGACTTCCAAAATCCTCCATTCTCTTGAATTTTAAATCCCCCAAATCGGGGTATTTTGGAGGAGAGCTTTGCAAAATCATGCCTTCTCCTCCCCCCCCCCCCCCAGCCTCTTTGCCTCTTCCCTTCCTTCCCCTCCTTTGAGCCCCAAAGGAGGGGAATTAGCAAACAATGAAAAAAGGAGACACCAGGATCATCAATGGTAATTAACATAAATCTAAGGTTGAATCAGATGCCCCTAAAGTTGTAGCACAAACAAATTGCTCCCTCAAATTCCAGTTCAACTCAATAAACAATATTAGGCATGAGATATGAAGACATGCACTAAAAGCTAATGCAAGTGAAGAGTAACAATTACCATAAGAAGAAGTCACCATTGATAGAACTTGACCACGGTGAGCCTGCCAGGAGAGGCCTTCCTTAAAAGGTGAATCATCTGAATTGCAACTGTCCATCTTCCAAGACCTGATTTTTCCATCCTTGTGCCCTGTCCACACCAACTTACTCCCCAAATCAACCATTAGACACAGTGCAGGAGACGTGACAGCCGATTCATGAAACGGTGCTGCATCCTCATCCCCTCTCCTTGCCCTACCCCCAATTCCGATCCCCGCCTTATACACATCCGAGAAGTTCCAAAATCTCACCCCTGATTCTTGCCCTGCCCATAGTTGTGTCTCTGTGCATGCAATGGTTCGCAAATATTTCCCAACCTGCAGCAGTCACATTGAAACAATCAAGCACAACTATAGACAGGTTAGGGATCTCGATTCTCTGCCTTGCTATAGCAGCGGGGTGCGTGGCTTTTATAGCCACGAGATTCAACCAAAATAGCCCCACCACTTCTCCTCCCCTACCGTCCCTGCCGTTGGATGCCGCAAGGCACCTCTGCCGCACGGCAGAGGATCCAAAGGGGAAAGAGAGATTTCAAATAAATAAATAAAAAACTAATCAAATTAACATTACCTGTGTTTCCCTAAGAGGGTGAGGCCGGAGCTCAAGGCAAGGCGGACGGCCAGGGTGAACAGCAGAGCGAGAGGGAACTTTAAAAATTCCGGTGCCACCTCCAGCCCCAATAAATTCCGGCAAGTAGTTTCTGTTTTGGAACTCTTGCGGTCCATCTGCGGCCGGCGGGCACCCGTCCTGGCCATCGATCACATTAGCATGATCGTGTGAATCGGAGCCGTTGGAGGTGGAATAAGGACGAAAGGCGCCACCACCGTCACCATCCTTTTCTTCTTCATAGCTATCGTAGATGGCGTTTTGAATGTTGGGAATGCGATCCTCGTCGAGGCTGTGCTTGCGGAGCTGGTGGTGGCGCTTGTGGTGGGTCCCGGTGTTGGTACGGAGCTGCTGGCTGTAGGAATGGGACTTCCGGCGAGGCGGGGTATTGGACAGCCCTTCCAATACGTTCCGGTCATCTTCTTCAGGTCCTTCGTCCATTGAATTGTGGAAATTGGGATCAATTGCAGCAACGTAGGAGTGATACCCGCAATGAGAAAAAACTGCGATTCATTGAGAGGATGACAGAATGCAGTGAGAGTGGAGGAAGGAAGGAAAGAGACAGAGAAGAAGAATGGGAAACGTGGGGAGGAGAAGAAGTGGGAAAAGGAGAAGCGGAGGAATGGTTCGTTGCATGGGAAAGCGGAAGGCCAGCCAGCAGAACGCGGGGACGCCATTGCTGCCTCCATTTGTGTTTTTCATTTTTGAAAATTGTTAAAAATAAAAGAAAATTGATGTAGAAATGAGTAGAATTTGAACAAATTCAAAAATAAGATAAAGTTAATTATCTCTCAAAATAAGATTTATTTAGTAATATTGAAAGAGTAAAGCAGTAAAATGTGTTAGAAGTATGAGTAAATAATTATATTTTAAAGAGAATATAAGGGTGTATCAGTTTTAAATTTGATAAAATGTGCTATGTTTTTCAATATATTGATAAGTTTTCTGTAAAAGAAGTATATACATTTTTCATGGTTTGGATATGGAATCTGTAGACAACTCTAGTGTGTAAATCATCGATTATGTGTTATATTGGGCCTTTTAACTTTAGTACGGAGTAATTAATAACAATATTATTTAGACTTTAGAGCTTTCTTATTAGAAAATTGTCAAAAATGAAAAAAATGCAGTAAAAATGAGTAGAATATGAACAAATTCAACAAAAAATTACTCCGTATCATTTATTTACAAAATAAGATTTATTTAGTTATATTACAGGAATAAATGATAAAAGTGTTTAAAGTATAAGGAAATAAATCAATATCATATATATATATAAGATGAACTTTTTAAGAGCATACAGAGTGCCACATAACTCTGTAATGTCATCATTATTTTAATTTACGTAGTTATAATTTTGGCCAGACTAATTTGGAAAGAAATAGGAAGAGAATGTAAAAACATATATTCGGAATCACTATTCGTATGTCATAAATTGGAATCATATCTAAAAATGTCGTATGGCCAGATTAAATTGGAATAATTTAAGGCTTTACGTATATTTTGGGATCACTATTCGAAAGTTGAACAATTGATAATATTATAAAAAGGAAGAGAATGTAAATACTTCTGATCAAGTAGGTTACCTTATTTAATAAGGATGAAAATTGATATCATACATAAATACATATATGTATGTATGTTTTCACAAGTAAGGATGATTTTACTTGGACTGTAATTTGTCCCAGACCAGACCAGACCAGACCAGACCAGACTTGGGTAGTTATAAAAATACAAAGAAACCAGACCAGACCAGACCAGCAAATTACAGTCCAAGTAAAAACATCCTAAATACATTTACGCCTAGCCAAAAAAGTAAATATGTTTGGTTATTTATTTATTTTACAACTACAATTTAGACGTGTCTTCACTTTTGAAATAGATTCCTAATTCAAATTAGAAAATCTTTACATGTTCACAAATACTGACTTTTATTTCAATAGGATTTTTTAATTGAATTGATTTCAGTTCCAGATTAAATCAGATCAGATCAAACTTTAATAATAATAATAATAATAATAAGTCACACAAAATGTAAAAGAAACATCTACCAGAACATATTAATTCATACCAAATTAAACCGCAAAATTTTAATCCAATTAAAGACGTCCTTACTAATGAGTAAAATGTAAGATCTCACAATTAAATTTTAAAATGTGCATTTCATACCAAGTTGAATGAGAAATACTAGAAAAGTATTATTTTTAAATGCTCAATAAAGTAATTTAGATGTTCAAAAGAATTAAAAATTGTTTTTCAATATAACAAAATAATGAGTAAAATGTAAAAAAAAAAATCCATCTTTTACATTTAGAACGTGACAAAATAATGAGCAAAATGTAACATCTTATTATTAAAAGTTAAAGTATGCACTTGGTATTTCATATCAAGTTGAATAAGGAATAGTAGAAGAAAATGCTTGAGGTACATATTAAAGTAATTTAGAGGACGTGAGATTATGAATTCTTTAAAATCGGGTTCATAACGATTATATTTACTTGAGATGCTTATGTAGAAGATCAATTTAACTATTTTTCATATAATCTTTTCTTGGCTTCACAAATGGAATATATTTTACATATTTTTTTCATGATTCAGAAGATTCACCTATTCAGCCCATTCAGCCAGAATTTAATCAATTTCAGTAAAATAAGTTATTTCGATTTATTTTAGTATTATCAAACAGGTTCTATATTAGACTAAGTTTATTTTTATTTTAAATCATATTACAAATGATCCAAAAGAAATCAAATTTCAAATTAGCTAAATTACATACTGCCCATGCATTGCACGGGCTTGAAAGCTAGTGTTCATATATTTTGAAAAGAAAAGGCCTTTTTCGGTGAATATTACTAAATTAAATTCAAAAGATAAAAATATGACTTACTTTAACTTTTTCAAAAAAAATGACATATCCAATGACTAGTTCTGAATGACTCATCGTCTACCCGTGTCTGATTGGGTTTGGTGTGTAGAGATTTTGATGGGCGAGAGAAGTTCCAGACTTTTTCTACATATTTGCAGTATTTTCTCAGCCATAATTGCTGAGTCAGCATGTCAAGGAAAGACAATCAAGATAACACTGTTTCATTAATTTCTGACAGGTCAACGTTATAAGAGTACAAACATGTTGCATTGGAGACCTAAATATTAGAAGCAATGCTGACATTAATAATTTGACCATCTTTTTTTAGTGAATATGCTATCATTTGAGATTGTCTAAGTGGTATGACTGCATAGAATATCTCGAAAGCATGAACTACTCATAGAGAATCAGAGGCATACCACCATAACAAACATGATCAAAAGTAATGGAGGGAGTCAGGACATAAGCATACAGCCCTTTTTATGAAAATCAAGCCATAAATATGTCTTGGATGTATGTTTTTATGCTTTCAGTTAGATTTCCTATTGAATTAGAGACTCTAAGCTATGAAACTTTTTTGATTTTTTTTAAGACTATACTCCAAGAAGCAAGCTTCTACAAAAAGGATCCGAGAAAGGGTCCCACCACAAGTTAGCAAGCTTCTACAACTAACCTACATTTTGAATGGGTCATTCCAATTCTTGATCTAGACAACACCATAATCATCTTCTGCCACTTGGATTGGAAACCTCTAATCTAAGACAACTAAAATCAGCCAATACCCAAATTGAATAATATTGACAGTATGTAAAAATGTATCTTCATGAATAATCTTAGTATTTTTACTTTACCCCGGTGTGTACTTTAGTTCCTTAAGATTGACACATTGCAATGCTAAATGAAAGGTCAAAAACACTGCAAATTCATAGAGCCATAGAGGCATAGAGAATATAACATATTAACCATTCTTTGCAAACTTTCGCACGGGAAAATAAAAAAAGGAGAAGCCAGAAAAAAGAGAACTGAATTTGAAGCAAAAAAATGGGAAGCATGCTCGGGATCATAGGTCAGTGGAGCAGGGAAGGCAATAGAAGCATTCCTAATGTACTCGAAAAAGCGACTCATTAATCCGTCCGAAGCGTTGGGACGGTGGGCAAAGCCAACAGACTTGAGGAGTCTAGAGAAGTAGGGGAGCTTTGCATCACCATCAGGAGGAAGGGAGACACCAAAGATTTTGCTGAGGGGCTCATAAGTAGCATATTTCCTGGGGACCAGGGCAGTATCAGAGTCAAGGTACTTCAGGAGGTGGACAAATTGGTCATACATCAGAGCAATATTGGGCACCATAGAAGTAAGACCTTGGAACATTTCTTCCTTGCAGGGTGGCTGGAATTCCATGTTGTAAAGCCGCTCTTCGTCCAGCGTGATCACGGGGAGAGCGGGGGCAACATCTCGAAAATTCCCGAAGCCCGGGGAGCTGATGGAGAGCGAGCGAAAGAAAGGAACCAGAGGACCCGGAATCTCAATCATCCCAAGGGGGAACTGATCCAGAAACCTGTTCAAGAAACAGATCTGCTCAGGGGATATCATCATTGTCAATGCCTGTGCTCGAAGGCACTGGACAATAGCAAGGAAAGCGAAGACGATATTGGACGCTTGGGGTATCCAATCATTGACACAACCATTACAGGAGAAGTCTGGAAGAGAGCAGACCTTGTCATTCATGGCAGCCAGAAAGTTGAACATCATTCCGAAGCATGGAATGAAGAAGTTGGCGGAAGGGTGGGCAACTTCACGGAAGGGAAGGTGGGAGGAGATTCTGCGAAGATGGTTGACTGGGAAGGGTCGAGGGACGACGACATTAATAGCTAAGCGGGGAGCAGTCTTGCTTTTCTTCTTGGAAGTTGCAGGGTCAGGATAGTGGGCTGGTGTGGCAGCTCTGAAATCAGACATCTTGAAGAAGTTGAGAGTAAAGTTTGGGTATACGTTAGAAAACTGATTAGGCTCTAGTAGGCTATATCCTTGTGATTGATTTTGAAGCAGGAACTCAGATAAAATACTCCCTATTAATTTAAGAGCTTGGTGTATCTAAGTTGGCTTTATCCCTCCAAATTAGTGTTGATCGTGTTGCTTCTAGATTGACCATCTAGCTCCGAGAATTGACCTGCGGGCCTAAGGGCATCCCTATCCATATATTATTTTTGGGATCATTTTGATGATGTGGAGGATTTTTTTGGGATCATGGATGAGGAGTTGAGATTATTTTATTTATTATTTGATAAAATAATCTGGTACTACGTATCAAATTCTAAAGTCGGATTATTTTGAGATTATTTCCAAATTTTAGACTCCTCTCCATTTTCTAGGCATATACTCGAAATTGAGGTGATGACTAGCTTTGTAGAGATTTTGAAATTGAGTGCATGTCTCATAAAAAATCTAGGTAAATTAAGATCATGGATGAAAAGAAATTGATATGTTTGGAGATTATTTGAGATAATCTTATATGGAAGTGACATTGAAATAAGAAGTCATAAAAAATCTTAAACTTGAGTATCATGAATGGAGATGCTCTAGTGAATTATTTCCGGCGTGCGGAAATTTTTCCCAAGATATAACGAGCTCTTCGATTATAACTACCGAGAAGAAAATTATTATATGAACTCAACAATAAAAATATAAGTTTTGTATAACCAGTTTGTTCATAATCTCTTTTCATTATACATGTAGCATCTATATATACACATAGCTTTGTAGGAATTGAACATCATTCCGAAGGATGAAATGAAGTTAGCGCCAGGGTGGGCAACTTCACGGAAGGGAAGGTGGGAGGAGATTCTGTGAAGATCGGTGACTGAGAAGGGTCGAGGGACGACGACTTCAATGGCTGAGCGGGGAGCAGTATTGCTTTTGTTCTTGGAAGTTGCAGGGTCGGGACAGTATGGGAGTGTGGCATCTCTGGGATCATACATCTTGAAGAAGTAGAGAGAGTAAAGTTTGGGTTAATGTTAGAAAACTGAACAGGCTTTATCGTTTTGATTTTGAAGCAGGAACTCAGATAAAATACTCGGTATTTAGGTAAGAACTTGGTGTATTTAATTTTATAGTGGCTAACGGTCTTTTCAACTTTTGTCGTTGTTGTTGTTGAGAAAACAGTCTTTTCAACAAAACATGCATAACCGTTTAAAAAGTTCCAGTAATATTGATTCGGTTCTTATAAATTGCTTGTAGAAGCCATATAAACCAAGCCAAACCGTAGCAGTTCAATTCTAGTCATTTTTTGGTTCATTTTTTTTTTTAAAAATTCTTACAAATCACTGCTCAATTTTTGTCGCATACAGACATTTAACGTTTGAAATTATAAGTAATACAAATAAGTTCAAAGTTACCATCATTTCAAACTTCAAAAGTTAAATTTCAAATATAGGTACATAGCAAATTAAATATTTCAGGGAAGAAAACAAAATATGGTATACCCTACAAGAGAAACGGTTAAATATTACTACGTATCAAGTTATCAACTCTATTAACTAAACTATATTAGTAATGTAATATATGAATAAATTTTAATATATATACGAATAAGTAATAGATAAAAACTTAATTATTTTATAACGGTCCCACATACATAACCTCCGTCCCTTAAAACTTTGTCAAGTTTGTCTGACACGAGGATTAATAAAGTAAAAACTGTATGATTATGATTTTGTGCAAAGGAGAGAGAATTAATTTGAATCACAAATTCTTTACTTAAAAGGGAAAGTGACAAACTTTGTGGGACATATAAAAAAGGAAAGTTGACAAAGTTTTAAGGAACGGGGAAAATATTTTTTATATGAAATGAGAATCGAACTGTCAATAAAAATTAGAACTGAACCGTTAATAAATACGAAGTAATTAGTTGATGTTGCAACCGAACTGAACCGGGTCATAACAGTTAAATCAAGTTAAAATACTTGAGTTAAAATATAAAGTGCCATGATATTTTTGAGTTAAAATAAAGATATTTGGAGACCCTTGCTTAAAGCTTCACCCAATACTTATCTAAGATTATTTTATAACATATTTTAACCCCTATATCTATCACAAATAGATAACCCAATCCTTGTACTAATTCTATTTTTTGTAATTTGTTCTTACTATTTTCCTTTAGAATTCTTATGGGGAAAAGATCATTCGGCTTAAGTTTTGATATTTGGATGATATTTCCTTTGTATTTTCATGTTCTTGTACTTGAGTAGTATTGTGTGGTCCTGATTGAGATGAGTGTTAGAGGTTAAGCCCATGCTCACACTAAATCTCTACGCCCGTTGGGTTTCTATATTTGTTCTAAGTCAATTCATTATGAATTATTTTAACTATCCATAAATATGTTAGAAAAAATTACTTTAAATAACACTCTCCAAATAACACTAAGAATAGTATATACTTTGAAAATAACTTTTAATATTACCAATAGTTTAAATACTATGTATGTAGTAAAAATGACATTGATCATTTTTTTAAACTAAAAAGTTAGTCATTTAGCTGAAACACTAATATCAAAATATCAAGCAAGTAACTCTATTTTCAAGTATCATTTATTTGATAGTTTGATATTCATTTTAATTTTGTTGCTGCATAATTAATTGTACATCTAAATAATTTTCACATATCATCATCATCAATTCAACTAATTTTAAAATTTTAGATCAAGACAAATTTTATAATGTTTTATATGTGAAAATTATTGAAAACATTCTACATCAACGAATAAAATAAAATTAAAGTGTGTGAAAATGTAAAAATCAATTGAATATGTTAATAATGAAAGTCGTGTGATGCCAAATAGTATCAAATTAAAAGGTGCAATTATATAGACCAAAGATAACATTATTTACTTCACAATGAGAGTTTAGAATGTTAATTGCATCCACACAAATGTTAAACACATATTTTAAATTATGTACTTAACACCATATGTTTACGTTCGTGAAAGAAAAAATATATGATCATGATACTAAGTTAACTTTTTATATAGAATTTAAGTATATATATATTATACATAAAAGTTTGGGATACTAACTTCCCACTCTATCAAAGTTTAGTGTACTTGAGTTATTTCCCCCCTGTATTAGTGATAAATAAGAAGAAAAATATTTCTATTTCACTACTCTACTAGCAACACTGATTTAATTTTATCTGCTCATATGTATATATAATTGATTATTTGATTCTCTTATATACTACGTATTATTTAGGCCGTACCTTTGGTTTTATATTATTTATTTATAATTTTTATATGTGTATGTGTACATATATGTATTTTTTAAAAAAAAAACTAGATTAGCTATTTAAATTTTAAGAATGATTGTATTGTTCCAAAATGTTTAAAATTATGAGATGTTAATAAATTAATTAGCTTCCCTCAAAGTTAACGGCAAATTTAACGGAAGGACTCGATTAATATAGATGAAATAGATTAAGGACTAAAATGATAGATTTAATAGTTCGATGACCAAAACGATATGGTGATGATAGTTCAAGGACCATTTATGCATTTTACTCATCTATTTATCTTTGATTTGTTTTACTTTTATCTCATTTTATGTGTCTTGTTTTGACTTGATACAATTATTAACAGAGTGACTGAAAAAGTAAAATTTGTGATTGAAATTTGAGTATGATAAAGTGAAATGTTATATACCACATATTTCTTTCTAAATAATAGAAAAATGACATTTATTTCGAGGCAGTTCAAATAGAAAAGCAAGTAATGAGGCGGAAAGAGTACATCACCATTTTAATTTGATTTGATTTAGGAAGTGTTTGCACTTGCTTCTGCTTTAAAAATGACTTTTAAGGTAATTTTAGAAAAATATTTAATAGTAAAATTTTGTAGTGTTTGAGAAAAAAGTGATTTTGAAAAGTAAAAGTTTGTAATGTTTGGTAAAATATGTGTTTTTTGCGTAATAGAAAAAGTAAAAAACAGATTCTAGGATTGAATTACTTTTTTGGCAGCTTATGGATGAATCTCTCCCTACTTCTTCTAATCGATCTCAAAGGAGAGGGGTTCATATTTCTATGACTTACAGGTTGTGTGAAGCGGGTGCGGAGTCAGTGCAGCATGTTTTCCGAGACTGTCCTGCAGCGATGGATGCATGGCGTGTGGAGAGGTGGCAACATACTAGTTCGGCAGGTGATTTTAGGACATGGATTAAAGGAAACATGACAGGTAATAGTGATCTCGGACGTGGGGGATTTATAGGTATTTTATGGAGTTTATGGAAAAGAAGGAACAATGTCGTGTGGAAAAATGAAGATCAGGGTAGCTCAGAGGTGGTTAGGAGTGCAGATGGGATCTTAAAGTCTTGAGAAGTTGCACAGGCAAGTGTGGTGAAAAGTACTCAGAAATAACATGTGCACTCGGACGGATGGAGGAAGCCGCGGACTGGAGTTATTCAAGTAAATATTGATGTTGTTGTCAATGAGTCAGCTGGAATTAGTGCCTGGAGCTGAGTTGATAAGACGGATAAATGGGAGTTTGTAAAAGCATATATTACCTCTAGAAGGAGGGATTGGAGTCCGAATGAACCTGAGGCATTGGGTGTGCGGGGTGTTGTTGAAGCTGCGATTAGGGAGGAGTGGGAGTGTGTTGAATTCGAGTCGGATGCGCAAATGATAGTGAATGATGTACGAGGGAGACATGGGTGCTCCTACTTTGACCTACGGTTGGAGGATATTCGAGTTCTACTGGAAACAAAGAGAATGTTTAGTCTCTCATTTTGTAGACAGTCTATGAACCGTGTTGCTATGTGTTAGCTAGGTAAGGCGTGTTACTACCAGATCCAATTAGAAGTTTTGATGTTATTACTGATTGTATTGTAAGCCAGCTGACTAATGATTTGGTTGAGTAATACTATTAAGTGTTTGGTTGTCAAAAGAAAAAGCTAAAAGCTCAAAATTACTTCTCTTTTTTTAAATTTTTGCAAACATAGGGGTGGTTTGACAACAATGGAAAACGGCCAAAAGAAAAACAACCATTCTTGGTGTACACGTTTTTGTACCCATCAGTACACGCATGTGT